CCACACTCGCGACACATTTCTTCTCCCGGAAGGTTAACGTGGCACCCTTGGCCGCTCCACCCAGGACAGGCACTGTGGATCATGCTCTCCCAACAGGCCACGTACTGGACTACTCCTGGTTTCCATCTCCCGGGTTTCAGATCAGCAAGTTTGAGGCAAAGCAACCTGGACAATGTGGTTCGTAGGATGGCTTGGGAGCCACGTAAGTAGCTTTTTGTTTTTTCCTCACTGAGGGTGTTTACTATAAAGGAACATATAGAACTTTCTTGACAGGCCGTTTAGTCCTATCAAGTCAAGAAATTAGTATTTCACTTTTGACTTACTGTTCACATAAGAAATCATACCTCGATGAGATAGTTCAATTTTTTAATTCAACACGTATTATTTATTGAGCACATTTATGGTCACTGAGTCAAATGTAAGCTCAATCTGCAGAATTTAGAGGCTGGGGTATGTGTGTGGGTATATGTGAGTGTGTAATCAGTAATAGACTTAGGACCCAACTTTGGCTAATATAACATAAGCAGAAAAGCATGTAGGAAAGCTTACAGGCAGACTCAGCTGGCACAGGCTTCTGCTGACACTGTGCACTAGATGCCTGAGGTGGAGGAACTGTCCTGGAACTATGAAGATGAAAACCACAGGCAAAGATGGGCTGACCCAGTGGCATCATGGTTAAGTTCCACATGCCCTGCTTCAGCAGCCGGGGGTTTGCGGCTAGATCTGGGGCGCACACCTACACAACTAGTTAAGCCACACTGTGGTGGTGTCCCATATAAAATAGAAGAAGATTGGCACAGATGTTAGTTCAGTTACAATCTTCCCCACCAAAAAAAAAAAAAAAACAAAAACCACCCATAGGCAAAGATGCCAGAACAGAAAGACTGGAAAAGCGGTCCCCTGTTTTAATCTTAGAGCTGCTGTACCAAAACTGGATTGTCTGCCTCCAGATATTTTGTGATGTGAAAAAAAATAAGGCTTATTTCTTTTTTGGCCACTGTGGTTGAGATTCTGTTATCTGTAGCTGATCATGATCCTGATACAAGATCCTTCTAGAGCTTTTTCTCTGCGTATATAGAGATATAATTTCTAAGACTAATAACAGTCTATGAGGCAAGGAATATTATTCTCATTTTTAAAAGGGAAACCAGGTCCAAGTAAGTCCAGTGAGCTTACTTCAGTCACACAAGTAGAAAGTGGTCACCCTGGGACGTACGCCCAGGTCTCTGGGACTCCAAAACCCATGTTTTCTCCTATGTGCCCCTCTCTAGAGTTCTTGCGCTGGCAGAGGAAGAGGTTCCTCCAAGTCTTTAAAAAGTACACATTGTTAGAAAACTTTGGTGGCATAGTGGTTAAGTTCGCCCGCTAGGCTTTGGCAGCCTGAGGTTTGCAGGTTCAAATCCTGGGCGCAGACATACACACGGCTCATCAAGCCGTGCTGTGCCGTCCCACAGACAAAGTAGAGGAGGATTGGCACAGATGTTAGCTTAGCGACACTCTTTCTCACCCCCACCAAAAAAAGACTTTGAACCAACAGTATTAACATGCATTTATTGAAAAAAAATAAAAGATCAGATCCTACCGCTTTTTCTAGTACTTTTCCTTTCTGCATAATTGTTTCAACTCTTGTTCATGTGCGTGCAGAGCTGCAGCTATTCTGTACATACTACTTTTTTCAGCTGATGTTTCTTTTTTTTTTTTTAAGATCGGCTCCTGAGCTAACATCTGTTGCCATTTTTTTCTCTTTTTTTCTTCTTCTCCCCAAAGCCCCTCAGTACATAGTTGTATATTCTAGTTGTAGGTCCTTCTGACTCTGCTATGTGGGATGCCACGTGGGCATGGCTTCATGAGCGGTGCCATGTCCACACCCAGGATCCCAACCAGCAAAACCCTGGGCCGCTGAAGCGGAGCATGCGAACTTAACCACTCGGCCACAGGGCCGGCCCCTAATAGTGTTTCTTGATGTTTCTATATAGCTCACATTTTAAATTAAAAAAGTACTGAATGCAATCTGTAAGATGATGAAAAGGGGGAAATCATCTGGGCTATCACTACCCCAAAAAAACCAAAAACACAGTTTGCATTTTGGTTTATTTTGTTCCTACCCTTTCACCTACACATTTCATTTTTGCATCTTGGTAATCATAGCATGTGAATTTTGTGCTCTGTCATTTACACTGAATATTCCATGGTAAGTATTATCCACGAGCTCCATGAGGACAAAAACCTCCATTTTTTGTTCATTATTGTACCACCTACGCTTAGCAGGATATAGTAAAGCTGACTCAATAAATATTTGTTGACTAGAATATTGCTACATACTCTTCATAGTTAACATATAAATGCCCGTATAATGTTCCTTTTAGTAGCTATGCCTTCATTTACTTAACTTTCCCCTAATTATTGGATATTTCTGTTTTCAATTTTTGCTTCACTTTTTTTCATAACAATGTATTATGAAAAGTTTTCTGCATATAATTTTCTCTGCATTTGTTCTATTTTCTTAAAAATAGGGCCCCCAGGGTAAAATTACAGGGTCAAATGATTTGGGCATTTTTTACAAGTCTTGATGCATTTTATGGAAATGCTTTTAAAACAAGGGAGCACTTTACAATGGCAATAGCAACAGGACAGTTTCTTCATACTCTCAGCTGCCCTGATTTTTGCTGTGTTTTTAAATCGTTGCTATTGATTTAAGTGGAAGAATCCCTTAATCAGTTAGCATGCTTATATAACCTCAGTTTAGTGTCACAGGCATACTAAGCCAAATAAATACTCATTAAAATGTGAGCCCATTATTTCAGTCACGTCCCTAATACCCCGACTATTAACCGATGCATAATAAGCACAGGTGCAATTCAACTGTATCTCAACTCTAATTTCCATGACTGGCCTATGTGAACACCAGTTGTAATTATCACAGAACTATTATCTTATGGTTTAGAGCTTTTCGAGCATCATAATGAGAAAGATGATTTTTACATTAGACACTATAAGTAATCATATCCTTTTTTCTACAAAGTCGTTCAATGAATTTATCTCTAGCCGTGTCTCTACATATTTCTATCTCCACCTTTCTCCCTGGAAATTTATAGGCAATCCCAGCTCCAGGGAAACTATGCTTTTCATGTGTGTTAAAAATTAAAATTCAGGAGCTGGCGCCGTGGCTGAGTGGTTAGGTTCACATGCTGTGCTTCTGCGGCCCAGGGTTTCACCGGTTCGAATCCTGGGTGGGGACATGGCACTGCTCATCAGGCCACGCTGAGGCGGCGTCCCACATACCACAACTAGAAGGATCCACAACTAAAAATACACAACTATGTACCAGGGGGCTTTGGGAAAAAAAGGAAAAATAAAATCTTAAAAAAAAAAATTAAAATTCACCAGAGGCTTAACTAAAACTATGGTGATCTTTGGACTGTTAACAAATGATTGACACAAAATATTATTTCTTTATGAGCTGTTTGTCAAAGTCCAAATAATTAACATTGTTGAATGTGATAAAGCAGGCAGTGTGCCACTTAATGAACTAATATTTTCTTAGAAAAACTTCCAAAGTTTTGGCCATAGAAACAATGAATCTCGAGGTAACCCCTAGCTCCAAACAGAGTTATAAATTGAAGGACTTAAGGTATCACACGGAAGTAGAATGGACTATAAAGTGTGTTCAAGGGGATCAGAATAATTAACCCAGTAATTGCTGAGCAAGGAGAAGGCATCATCTTTGCCTACTCTTCTTGCCTTTCTTTCCACTCCATGACGGGAAGCTACACGGGAGGTGTTTATCTGCCCCATTTCTGCCTCTGCTTGGAGAGAAGGTGGGGCTGCTGCCTGTGCGGCCCCATGGAGGAAGGTCCTGGGATTTCTCCAGGCCCAGGAGCAGCCTGCCCTCAGGCCAGACAGGTGTGACTGGGAATAAGGCCAAGGTGGGGAGCATTGAAAGAGCACTCAGCAGTCACATGACTCAGGCAGTCAGAGCCAGTTTGTTTCTGAGAGCTGCAGCTGGCTCCATTCAATCTTCAGGAAGCACCAGGGCGTCATGACCACAACCTCTCACGAAGTCCCCATCAGGACAGACGTCCTTCATCCCATTAGGCTCACTGCAAGTGTCAGCCAGAAGGTACGCGACAGATCTTCCAACCCACCCCACGCATTTATTTTACTTCTGCTTTTACTTAAATTCAAAATAGTACCCAAAAGTACAGGTCTGTCTTCACCACCGTCTCTACCCCTCTAAATCACAGCCTCTCCCACTCGCCTTTCCAGTTAACCACTGTTGTCAAGATGCTGAGCATCCTTGCGGCCCTTTTTCTATCCGTTTGCATATACATGTGCATGTATGTATTGCATAAAGAGGTTCATACCATACATATGGTTCTGTAACTTGCCTTTTTCCTTAGCAACAGGTCTTGGAGTCGTGTCTTTGCATGTTGGGTTCATATAGACTAGCTTACTGCTTTTAACTGATGGAGAGCACTCCTCAGAGTCAGTCAGGGGAAATACCTTAAAAAGTTGTGATCCCTCATCAAAGCCAAGACAGACATCCAGAATTCAATCCAATTCAATTGCCCTGCAATTTTTCTATCCGAAAAGTTCAAATATACAAAATAGTGGAAAGGCTGGTACAGTGCCACCCGTATACTCGCCACTATTTTCAACAATTGTCACCACTTTCGTTGGCTGTCACTTTAACTCTGCTAGAGTTAGATGGTTCTAAGATAATTATGAAAAGAAATAGGATTCATCAAATCCCAAGGTCTTGGGGCTGGCCCCGTGGCCGAGTGGTTAAGTTTGCGCGTTCTGCTGCAGGCGGCCCAGTGTTTCGTTGGTTCGAATCCTGGGCGAGGACATGGCACTGCTCATCAGCCATGTTGTGGAGGCATCCCACATACAAAGTAGGGGAAGACTGGCACAGATTTTAGCTCAGGGCTAATCTTCCTCAAGCAAAAAAAAAATTAAATTAAAAAAAAATAAGGAAACCACCCAGAAAGTCACCAAAATACATTTAGCACATTCTGTGGATGTACCATTGTTTATTCAGCCATTCTTTTGCTGGCATTTCATTTTAATTTTTTGCTATTCCAGACACACAGGAATAAGCATTCTTGAATATATTTCTTTCAATACTTGTGTGACTTTGGGGGGCAAGGGAGATAGATACCTAGAAATGGAGTTGTCAGGTCAAAGGGTGAGGAGACTGAAGTTGAGGCCAGAAAAGTTAGATGCAAAACTCAGGATCACACAGGGCAGCAGGTAGCAAAGTGAAGGCTGGAAACAAGGCTCTTTCTGGGGCTCTGCGGTGCGCCCATCGCCAGGAAAGAAAACAGCTGTCTTATCAAGGGATGTGTCCCACTTTAGACTGTGGCGTCACCCTTTGCCCCTCCTGCCTGGCCAGCCTGCAGGTGAAGTACAGTATCGATTTCAGAACCTCAAGACACAGAACACAAGAGCTCCCTGTCACAAGAGGCAGCAGAATAGGGCTTTGTCTGGAAAGGCATGGTGGTTTCTATGGGACGGCCTTGGTGCCAGTGGCACAGAGGGAACCTCAGCTGAACTCCAGCTCAGAACCCTGAGTTCTCATCCCACTTTTCATAGCACTGCCTCTGTGGCCCATAGAGGCGTCTCTTTTTATTTCTCTGAGCAGATTTTGCAGTGTTTAGTCTTCAGAGTGGACATGGTTTTTAGTTACTGAAAATGCTGTTTTGCTGATTACAGGAAAGCACAGACAAAGGAATACATACAGCATGTACCCAGAATAAAAAGAGTGGGTGGGAAAAACGAAGATAATGTCAGTTACCAGCTTGGCCAGCCAGAGTCCCTTTCTTCCTACCTGAACACATTCAAAGAAAATCCAAAATCCAAGACTTGCTTGAAATGTTCATTTCATTTCAGATACAGAGAGAAATTAAACAGATGTTTTATTGTGTGTGCATACACATATATAGAAAATGAGTACGCCACCCAAACACATGTAGTAGCAACATCGACTCCATGTGTGTACTAGATTAAATCAGTGATGTATGATTAAAACTTTAAAAAATTTTTCCTAATTTAGGGAATATCAAATTTCCCCAAATATCTCATAATTTTTTTTAATGGTTGCTTGGTTTGAATCAGGACCCAAACAAGAATTATACATTGTATTTCATTGATACTACTTAAGTCTTTTAATCTGTAGGTTCCCCCCACCCCATCATTTTGAACACCTTGCTACTTGTTGAGGAAACTGGGTCATCTGTCTTTTTGAGTTTCTCATGTTCTGGATTTTGTTGATGGTACTCAAAGTAGTTGTTTAACACATTCCTTTATTCCAGCAGTTCCTATAAACTGGTAATTGGATCTAGAAGCTGGTTCAGACTCAGGTTTGCTCTTTCTGTGCTGGTGTGTATTTCCATCAGATGGCACATAATGTCTAGTGATCCTTTCTGTGATGTTGGTGGCCATTGATGACCACGGCCTTGATCCATTATTTCATTAGGGTTTTGGAAAATTCAAATGTTGTCATCCCTTATTTATTGACCAGAATAATTTCCTCGTCAACGACTTAAGTTATCCTGAGACGCAGTTTGGACATGTCTTAGCCTGGGTTTCTCAAGAAGCAGAGCCTTGAGACGTGGGCTGCATTGGGGAGCGTCGTCCTAGGGAAGAAGTGAGGCATGGGGGAAGCAGAGAGCCAATTCAGGGGAGCCTCCCCAGGAGTCTCCTGCTTCAAGCCAACACCGCTATCCATCTCCAGAACATTTCATCACCCCAAATTGAAACTCTGTACCCATTAAACAATAACTCCCCATGATCTTTCTAGGCTTTTTAAAAAGACTCAATGGAAGGAGCACCGGCTTGCCAGGTGCAGGCTTGGGCCCTTGCAAGAGGCTGCCCTCCCGGCTGAGCAGGGATTCCGTTGTGACTAAGCAGGCTCTCCGGTTAGCGCTCCCGCCCTCACCTATTGTCCCAGCGGGAAGAACCGGTATTTCCGGATTGGGGCCTCAGACTCTGATGCCGGCTAAGGGCGAAGGAAAAAGGAAGGGGGCAGGGGAACGGAAGCCGATCATAAAAAGTTAACTTTCCACCAAAATCACTAACCTGCTTCGCATCCCCCCCAACAAAAACAAAGACCCCAATACCATCGGATAGACACTCGCAATGGCCCACAACCATCCTCTCGTGGTCTTTTGAAGGTAGCAGAGCCGAGCCCTTCCTCGCCAGCACCCCTGGGGAGGATCGGAAAGCCGACCTGGGCAGGAATAAAGAAAGCAGCACAGAGAATTCCAGTCGCCCTGGGCGGGAAGAAAGCTCAGCAGCGGTTTTGCAGAGAAGGGAAGAGGCAAGGGAGTGGGCGCGCCGGCTCTGGGACGAGGCGGTCTCCGCGCCCCAACCCCTGCCCCACCACTGGGTGGCGTGTGTGACGCTCCCCTCCGTCCTTCCCGACACCCCAAAGTAGCGCTGCAAGAAGCTGCGTCCTTCCCCGAGGTGACACGTCTGGCACCCTCGGGATCTCCAGGACGCAGGTGACAGCCGCGGGCCACCCTCGTCCCCTCCGAATCGCCGCTCTCTGACTCGCCGCCGCCCACCTCCCCCTGCCCCCACCCTGCATATTCTTTTTCTTTCTTCTAAACCTCCAAACAGGAAATAGCTTGAGTCACAATAATACACAGGAGCAGCGGCCGAGGCCACTGGCTCCCGCCCATTCCCGGGGCAGCCTCCTGCACTCCGCCTCGGGCCAGGCGCCGCCAGCGACGCGCGCGGGGAGCGCAGGGGACACGGGCCCAGGAGCTGGCGCGGCGACGGAGCGCGCCCAGGCGCCGCCGAGAGCCGCCTTCGCCCGGCGCCCGACTCCGCTGACTGCGGCCGCCACCCGCCTCCAGGCGAGTACCCTCCCTCCTCCCTGTCCCTCCCCGGGCCCGAGAGCCGGCCGGGCGGCCGGAGGAGAGCCGCCCCAGGCGCAGCAGCCCGGGCTCGGGCGTCGCCGGGCTGCCTTCCTCCTGTCCCAACTTTGGCGAGGGAGGGATTCGCGGGATGTGGCGGGGCGCTTGCGCCGTGGATCTGTCGTGCGGGCGGAGGTGAGGGGCAGCACCAGTAAATGCGAGTGGATGCCCCCCTCCCCTCCCGATCTCTGGATTCGGGGTGTACTTCATTGAGCATTGATTTTTTTCCTCTCTGGGGATGCTTAACTGACTTTTGCCTCCTCGTACCCCCAGGGGACGACAGCGCGTCACGGGGTTTCTGTTGGGGAATCGCCCGGAAGTGGGTTCCAGCAGCTACAGGTGCCTGGGAGCCACCTTCTTTCTCCTACCTGGCCTAGAGCCTTCTACCCCAAGGGATGGGAACTGTTTCACTTTCTGCTGAGCTTCTCTTTAACCAGATTAAAAGGGCCTCTGAGTTTCTGTTGGCGCAGCCAGCGTTTGCAGTATCTAGAGAGGGCAGGAGCTGGTGCCTTGGGTTGAGGGAGGCGCTGGTTAGCTGAAAGCAGGTGAGGCTGCCGGGCGGCCAGCAGATCTCAGCTGCGGGGCTGGAAAACTGTGCACACTTGCGAGCCGCGCTGTACAGCCCCAGAGGTGCTCGCAGGCCTGCGCAGCCGGCAGAGCGGGGATCTGTGCCCCCGGCCCCGCAGGGCTTTCGAGCATCTTATGTGTGTGTGAGGTTTTGTTTTGTTTTTTTTTCTACTTTCTGACCCATTTGTAAGGGAGGGGCCGAGTTCATCAACATGCTGGGTGTTGTCAGTTTTCAAGGGCTGCATTGCAAGATTCTTCTATAGGAAACTCAATCAGAACTGAGTTGGAGACTTTTATGTTGGATAAAGGCCACTGAATTCCAGGCATTCTTCGAGCTTGAGAAGGGTATTTTCAAGCCCGTTTTGAAGTCTGCATGAGGGCTTTCTGCGAAACTGCCTCTCTGTCAACTATCCTTGTCCTTGGCTGCTTCCTAGTCCCGGATGGGGTGAGGGGTGGGGGGTGCTCTCTGGCGGCCCCTTCAGTCAGTCCTTCTGTCCAAATGTCTCAGCGTATTTTTACAAACGGTGGTTGGTAGGTAAGTTGAGTCCTTAACCAGGTTGCTTGAAAGATACGCTCGACCCTCTGCATTTCTTGGTGAGGCCAACGGTGTTCTAGATGCTCAGACCGATAGGGTGACAGCCTGTTTACTTTCCAGTGCTCTGGGGACTTGTTGCTTCAAGGAGGCCCATGGTCCAGGCGCAGGGGCATCACCTGGGGGCCTATTAAAAATACTGGATCTCAGGCCCCACCCAGACCTGCTGAGTCAAAAGTCCCAGGGGACTGTTTGCACATTAACGTTTTTTTTTTTTAAAGATTTTACTTTTTTTCCTTTTTCTCCCCAAAGCCCCCCAGTACATAGTTGTATATTCTTCATTGTGGGTCCTTCTAGTTGTGGCATGTGGTTCGCTGCCTCAGCGTGGCTTGATGAGCAGTGCCATGTCTGCGCCCAGGATTCGAACCAATGAAACACTGGGCCACCTGCAGCGGAGCGTGTGAACTTAACCACTCGGCCACGGGGCCAGGCCCTGCACATTAGCGTTTGAGAAGCACTGGCCTGTGGTGTTTAGGGAAGTTTTCTGCTCAGTGAAAAGAAGTGATTCACAATACATTTCCATCCAGTCCTCCATCTGAACCTTGATTTTTGCCAGGTGGGGACAAATGCACCACAGCCGAATGGGTCCCAGCCCCTCGACCCCAGGGTGACAGGCTCCTTAGCAAGATTTGGACAAGTGGTTGGCATACTAGCCTGTGATTTTTTTGTTTCTGGATGCTTTTATTTTATTGTTGTGTAAAATATACATAACATAAAATTTACCATTTTAACCATTTTGAAATGTACCATGTAGTGGCATTAGGTACATTCACGATGTTGTGCAACTATCACCACTGTCCATTTCAAGGACTTTTTCATTATCCCATTAGACTCTGTACCCATTCAACTATATGCCATTCTCCTCCTCTCCCCAGCCCCTGAGCCTCTGGATGCTGTTAATGATATTTTTTGTAGGGTATAGAAAAGGTGGAATAGGAATGTAAAGTAAAACTAAAATTGTGTTCACAAAACATGAACAAACATTTGGAGATTCCTGGGTTGCTGGCCTGGTGGATATGGCACTCTAGCTACAGGCTCTTAGAGACGACCGTAAACCTGATACCGAACCACGTTCCTTTTGCTCGCCGCGAGATTATACCAATCTCCGAGAGGACAAGCTTGCAAAGAGAAACGGTTAGTCGCAAGGCAGCCAAGTGAGGAGAAGGGAGAACCAATCTCAAATCTGCCTCCTGGAAAAATGGGGATTAGGGATATTTATGGGATAAAGGGGTAGAGTGGCCTGCAGTGTGGGAATAGACGATTGGAGGTAAGGAGAGGTGAGGTAATTGACGATCTGCGCAAGAGGAGTCAAGCTTCCTGGCTCTTCACGGGACGCATGTTCACAAAATGGCGGCCTTACCATGATCTGAGGGTGGAGTTTTTGGCTCCTTGGTGTCTATGAGTCCTCCAGGAAGGCCCAGTTGATGAGTTGGTGGTCTTAACCAGCCTGAACTGGACAAGAAAAAACACACAGGTTATGCAGTGACCTAAGCAGCCCTCAGAGATGTTATCTGTAGGGTGTGGCTTAGTAATGCATTACCTAACTGCTTTTGCAAACAACTAACTGAATTTAGTTAAAGCAAGTTGGCCCCCAGTTTCAAACCCATGAGGATTTCCTTTTTGGTTTGGCTTGAAAGGAATGGAGCTCGCCAGGGCTCAAACTACACTAATTAACTAAACGTGATGCTGGTAAAATCCATCTGTGTACTTCTTTTACCTGGCTTCATTTTAGGTGTCTTGTTTATATTGGGTTTAGGTTTTTTTAACACTGACTCAAACTCAGTTTTGAAAGTAGTTGAAATAAACCCGAAGGAAAAGCGCTGTTGTTTGGTAAATAGAGACGGTCACAGCAAGACTTCAGAATGAAGATTCGAAGTAATTTTCCAAAATACCCCAAACTATTTTGTTTCTGCTTTAATGTTAAATAAGTCCAATGACATTTTTCCTAGTTGTACAAATGTTTGTATACTTTAGAAAAGCCTTGTAATAGTGAGAATTATCTCCTTAAAATTGTCCAGCCTGTGGTTTGAGGACACGCTGTTCAGTGAGATCATAGATATGAACTGGTGATCTAATAAAAATGGTTTCATTTATGATCTAAGAAAGTTATTGTCATAGATCGAGAGTGTGGTTCAGAATACGTAGGTGATCAGAGATATTTGGAATATTTACTAAATAGCTGATTAGTGGGAGATCTTTCAGATTCTTTCCAGATTCTTTTTTTCTCTGAGACCCATGACTTTTCTTGCGTTATGATTCTCATCAGAATGAGGCTGTCAAGTTGTAGGAAGGAACTTCCAGCTTCCTTTGACTGAAAAGTCCCTCTGAAATGATGAATGAAAATAATTCAAATGGGCAAGATTTGGCAGAAAATTCTCCTTATTGAGGAGATTCTTATAGTCACAGGGTTTTAGAATGTTATTTCCTTCTAATTCTAGTAATGCAAAAGGGAAAAAGTTTCCCTCCTCCACTATATTCTCTTTTGAAATGGCAATATAGTTCAGTGTTTTATTTGGTGAACAAATGCTATTTTGTAGTCCACATGTAAGAAAAAACTGTCCAGTGAATGGTTTTACCAGTGATTCAGTGATGCCTGGGGAATCATGTGGGGAATTTAGTAAATATGGAAACTCTCCAGCTACTCCCCGACCTACTGAGTGAGAATCTTTGCATTGGAATCTGTTAACACCTTGGGTGATTCTGGTATATAATTAGGTTTGGGTTTCTCTAGAATAAACACACACATGCAAACTAAGATAATTGAAAAGTTAATCTGAAGGTAGAAGAGAGCACAATGTTATATTAAACATGAAATAAAATTAATAATGAATTTTTCCTTTAAATTAGGTAGTCATAGTTTCAGGTGTGGCAAATGTAATCAACACCTTTTGATGTTGATCATCATTCTTGAGATCTGAGATTTAGAATCCTGAACACCCAGAGGAACCCAGTGGTCTCCAGAGGAGAGATCAAGGTATTAGACTATTTGACTTAGCATCAGCCAACGTTTGTTGAGTGCCTATTGTGAATCCGGTATTTTCAGATATATTCTCATTAAATCTTTATAAAAACGTTG